ACTAAAGGCAAATAGGTTTTTCAGTTTGCAAGGGACTTTCACCTAACTTAGTGAATAAGATGACAATTAACTTTGTAAAGAATACTTAGTAATTGCAAGGAAAATGAAAAAAAAATATTTGTTTTGCCTATGATTGGATGATGGAAGTCAGCAGTGCTTTACCTCATTCACTAAGCTATGGGGAAATTCCCTTTCAATGTGCAAAATCCTTTAGGAAGTGAACAGCCTATTTCCCATTAGTAAATCAATCCCAGTGTTTCAGACTGAATGTTTGGGGCATTATCTGCTTCATGTTGTGTTTCTGAAGTCAATTAAACCATTAAGACCACAGTGCCTTAAAGTAGATCTATTTTTTGTTGGGATGGGAAAGGTTATACATCGTTGGCCTCTATTCAAACACTTACAAGAGTCAATCACTAGGTGTAAAGCACAGTGACCCATAAAAAAGAAAACAAATCTAAATTTGCTTTACTGTAAGTCCACAGTGTCTATGTTTTTAGGCACAGTGTATAGATTTTTAAGTGTACATGCCATGATTTCTCTGCCTTCCTGACCTAAAGGTGCCCATACACTGCTCGATTCTCATACAAGAATCGCGGGAAATCCCGCGATCATACGAGAATCGAACAGTGTGAACGAAGACGTGCGACCGTTTCTAATGTACGGTCGCACGTCTTTTGTCTAAGGAGCATGTTAGAAAACCAGCCGAGAATCGTACGATTTTGGGCTGGTTTGAATAGTGCTCGGGAGACAAATGCCGAACGGGCCGGTGTGCGCACGCGCACACTGCCCGTCGGCATTGCGGTCATCAGAAGCCCGCCCCTCAGGGGGGTGGGCTTGCGATGATCGAGAGTCAGATCTGCCTGTCCAAGATTGGCAGATCGTACGTTTTTTTAATCACTTTACAACCATCGCAAGACTAAGGTCTTGCGATGGTTGTACAGTGTATGGCCACCTTAAGAGAGAGAGTCTCTTTTCAAAACTGACAAGGTTGTTCTATAGCAACCTTGTTGATTAATATGCAGAGACAAATTTAGCTCCCTGCAGAAAAACTATGGTCACACAGTTGTTGTAGTGTTGAAAGGGACCACAACAATATACCAAGCAAGCAGGGCAGATAGTTAACAAACTGTGCTGGTCACTACTGGGTTAAGAGTAATGTCCTAAGACTAATAAACAGATTGCTGTAGTTCTACATTACCTACATTTTATTGTACGCCATCTTTAACTTTATTAACCGCCCCCCGGTCGGCCGTTGTAAAAGAACGGCGGCCGGGAACTTCCTGGATGTAACAGGCCATCTCTGCTTCATCACCTTCTTTGAGGGGTTCTAGGTCTTGGAGACCCCTAAAGTCTCCATAAAGAAGACCTGTTACATCTCTACAGGGTTTCTTAGCCCCCTATGTGATAAAAATAACGTTAAGTGAAAAAAAAATAGGAAAAAAAAGGTGCCAAAAAAAATTAAAGTCACACATGAAAAAGAATTTAAAAAAAACACAAACATTTTTTAAAGTCCCCACCCATACATACACGCGTGCAAATATGCGTTGGGTGCGCATACGTGCGAGAACGACGATTGCGCCCATTACGCCACACATGTTACATATCGCCGCGAACGTCGCAGTGAGAGCAATAATTCTAGAGCCATTAATCACTAATTACACTAAATTGATGAGCGGTAAAAGCTTTTAAAGCGTTGCCTATGGTCAATTTTGGGTATGGTAGTTTTTTACGATTTAGCAGGTGACATGTTTGGTGTCTATTTACCCGACGTGACCCTGTCTTTTATTTTTTACCAAAAATATGGGTAAGAATAAGTGTATTATAACATAATGTAAACATTTTCAGTAATTTTTTCCTAAATATAGTAAAAAATAAAAACCCCAGTGGTGATTAAATAGATGATTAAATACCACCAAAAGAAAGCTCTATCTGTCCCCAAAAAATGGTATACAATTAATTTCAGTACAGCGTTGCATGACAGAATAAATGTCAGTCAAAATACTGCAGCATTGAATACTGAAAAATACCCTGGCCAGGAAGGGGGTGTAAACACTTGTGACACTGATCTCCAGACAGCCCAACTCTCCTGGGCGCTCCGGGAGTCTCCCGCTATTAGATAGCAGCTCGAGGCCACCCGGGAGAGAAACACTTTCTAAAGCAAAGTTTTGCTCTGCTCAATCGAGCAGAGTGAACCTTTTCCTGCTTTTTTTTATTTTGACATCGAGCCGTTGGCTGTCGTCAAAATAAAATAAAAAATTCACCATAGCATTGAATTGCTAGATTCCTATTGGCTATTTCAATTTGCAATATATAGCTATAGCTATAGCTATTGCACCCACTGCTGCTGTCAATCAGCAGAGGGGACCTGCAGTTCTCCATCAGGTCCCCCAGAGGGACCGAGCAGAACAGCCGAGCCTAATGCCGTTCAGCGGCATTCGGCTATTTACTCACTGCTATTTGGCATCTATGAGAATAGACCGAACAGCAGCGAGTAGCCTGATATTGGATCGGCTGAGTCAAACTCTTGCTGAACTTCGGGTCTCCGGGGCGACCCAAAGCCGCCAGATGTATGGCTGATTCCAGCCGTGTATGGCTGATTTCAGCCGATATTCGGCTGGAATCAGCCGTACCATCCTGAAGTCACTTTGCTTCAGGTCAGTCGTTCGCTCGGCTGCCTACGGCAGCTTAGTGAGTAGACCCCTTGGTTTTCTTGCTCAGGGATGGAGCATGCTAGCATACCTATTCACCACCACACTGCTATGCTATTGACACAAGGTAACTCTTTTTTTTTACCTTGTGCTAGGTGGGCCGCGCACCCCCCTACCTGGAACATGGTGTCCACATCGTCTTGATGACCAGTATCGACACCGACTGTGGGACAGTCTGGACGTGGAGTGACGGGAGTACTGGGACACCCATTGACTCCACTCTTCTACTCTTTTTCATCTCCTCTTCAATGACTTTACATCTGGAACTCCAAGGAAATATACAACATACAACACCTTTTATCTCCACAGGGACGGTGCTTGCATCTAACGGACCTGTCCCGCCTCTTTAACATACCATATCAGCACTTCCTACAACACTGCCAAATCTCCTGCTTCATTAGAACTCGCCTACCTAAATCCTCCTCTATGGCCTCCACATGGACCCTCTGCCATATGCTTGCTACCTCACCACCCAAGCTATCCCTATCCTGCTTACATCTACTTCTTAGGGACTGCGACTCAGACATCCTGCCACAGACATCCTTCCCGAATTTCGTTCGCCCGTGGGCCATACTGACGGGGCAATCTTTAGCAGACACTTACAATACCATTCTCCATGGTTGGCATAATGTATGTAAACATATTGTTTGTGAAACATGGAGAGAACTTCAATTTAAACTGATCCTTAGGGCTTACTACGCGCTTAACTTAACCCCTGTTTCCCCACCCGCTGATTGGCTCCTTCAAGTGTTCCCTTCCTTGCCCTGACCTAATACATTTGATTTGGAATTGGCCGACCATCCAAACGTTCTAGCACCAGACATTCACTTACATGCATTCTCTGACCCACGTGGTCAGGGAACCTCACCCTACTCTATGCCTCCTTTATGACTCCTCCCAGCAACCGGGTCCTCGCCCTCCTCCCCTCTCCTCTTGGGAACATCAATGCCTTTTAGCATCCAAAAAAGCTATCCTAACGAAGTGGCTTGTTACAGACGCCCCATCTGTGTCGAAAGTACGAGCTATTCTCTTTAAGCTTATGCTTCTGGAGAAACTAGACCTGAAAATCAAGACCTGTCGAACGGGCAAATTCTTTCATAATTGGACCACCTATCTTACTTCGGAACTGACGTTAGCACAACTCAAGGATGTTATGGCCTCTTTCCAAAACACTCACTGGTACCTCATGGCCAAACTTGATGGCTCCTTAGGGGCCTTGGACGTCCTGTAACACATCTCACCTGATGGAAACCCGCCATCCTGACAGATGTGCCTGTCTCTAGCTTTCCACCTGACTATGCTGCCTACTGCCAATACAATACACCTTTGACACCCTTTCACATATCTCTTCTGTTGCCCCCGGAATACACCATTTCCAGCTCTTGATACATTGACAAATTTACACTTTCCAACCATATTTTTTCTATCTTTCTTCTGTTAGAACCTCCACCTCCCTCCAGTTTTATTGTTTTATCAGTCCATTGAGGTTCTCTTTTTGCCTTTGAATTTTTATTCTTTGCAGTTATAAATTGCTTTTTATTTCTCTACTCCATCCTGTACATGCCTTGCCCATACACATCATATGTAGACATATGTGATTCTTTTATGGAACTCTGTAACAAGTCTCCCTCCATGATGTCTTTATTGATGTGTTTCCATTTCTGATTTCCAATTTGCAGATGTTTTATCATCATGCATTTTGTATTGTACTATTGAAAATTTGAAACAATTTTTATATGCTTAAAAAAAAAAGAGTTGTTCCTCAACTCTACTTGATCACTCCTGAATGTCATTCTAATGCTGAAATCACTACATCTGAAGCTCAGTCCTTCTTCTCCGCATCTTCCCATTGTGGAAAATACTGGTGCTAGTCATACTGTACACAACTAATCCTCCCAAAGATAAATGAGGACACAGTTTCAAAAGGATACAATCAGATCTCAACTAAGCCAAAGATAAATGAGGCCCAACATTGTACTTCATAAGTGAAAATACACTTGTGTTATATAACTGCAGAAAAATAAAATATATTTTCTTTTTTCATTCTCTTCTTTTACTTAATTTATTTCCATAGAATTAATTTTTTAAATGTGCTTTAAATAAATATAAAAGGAACATTCTTATCGAGAGAACAGAAATTCCGAATTTATGATGTGATAATGTGAGAGATAGAAATATTACTATGCCAAATAAAGTTTGAGGGTTTTGAATCATAATGTAGTGTACTGCAGGTACAGTACAGGATTAGAAAATGACTCAATACCAAGTTTGGTTTGCCCACGTACTTACTTTTTATGGGTATAATGAGCTGAGGAATGACAGGCAGAATCTTTGGTCCTCCGTGCTCTAGCATGTCATGGACTCCCTGACGTGCGAAAAATTCATAGGGATGTACCATTTCACAAAGACCATCAAAGAACAGAGGCAAGTAGTGATGATAATCTAATTTCTCAATCTCCACCTAAACAGAAATAGAGAATAAATGATGATGAAATAAACATACATCAGAAACGCAAGAGGCAAAAAACAACGGTTTAATGAAAGAGATGCCACAGCTTAAGCCATACTTACAGCTGCAATGTTTTTGCTATTAAAGACACATTGTGGGAAACAGATATTCAAAATTACTCTAATTGACTGAATACGAGTTCTAGTTTGCCTGAGGGGGTTTAGCTCCAATGGGATTCTAGTCTAACTACTGAGGCAGTCTGTCTACATTTTCCTGAGAAGTCAAAACCAAAAGAACAGACAAATGTATAGAGATTTTTTTAACTTTTCACAAAAATGCTTGCTATTTTCAATACATTAAAATATTTTGCTTCATTTTGACCTGCCTTTCATGAAATTGCTGTTAGGAAATGATAATGGAATTTCCATTAACCCAGATGCTCCTGATAATCATAAAATCACATTTAGTTATTAAAATGACATGCCACACACATCAGAATACTACTATTGGGCTATTATTAAATAAACAACAATTTCAACCCAAGTAGCTTCTTATTACATCCAGTGTGCGACTGATACTATGGGGTCTATTCACGAAGCTGCCGAAGGATCTGGCCGTAGCTTCGGCCGATCCTCCGGCTAGCTTCGGCCCCAGGACCCCTTCGGTTCACTAGAACCGAAAGAGTGCTGTACGGGCTATTCACAATAGCCCGTAAAGCTCCCGATCATGGCAGAGCGGCTGAGCCGAGCCGAACGCATATGCATCGGCTCGGCTGAGCCGTGCTGAAAGCCGAAGCTGGCCGAGCGGCCAGCCATTGGCCTGCTTCTGACAGCTGGGCGGAGCCAGCCGTGATCTTACGGCTGGCTCCGGCCACTTGCAGTGAGATCAGCGTCCCTGGTTACCTACTAACCAGGGACACTGATCTCCAAACAGCTAACTTTCGATGGCACCCCGGGAGTCTCCTGCTCCCAGCAGCCAATGAGAGAAAGACCGCTGTGTCCTTTTTTTTCTTTATTCTACATAAATCCAGAATAATAATAGTCATAATAAATATATAAACCAATGAAAATAAAGGTTTTATACAATATATATACATGCTGTGAGAACGATATGTAAATAATTTTGTTCAAGAATAAAGTGTAATTGAAGCTCTTGAAGTAGGTTATAAATGGCATTTTGCATATTAATTAATTTGTTAAACATTATTCCCATTAGAAAGGAATAATTTGTGTACCTTTAATCCTATCCATCACCATAATAACCCAGTAGAGATATACCTAGCAGACATGGGCTGTGCCACACCAAACATTTAAATATTAATTATGTATGAATTAAAAAAAATTTATTTAGCATAATCTCTCTGTCACCATCTACCATCATCTTTATACAAGTCTGAAATTGTAGGTTTTGGTCAGTTTGATATACTGTGCTATATAATGTAGGTAGCAATAAACTCAATGGGGGTGATTTACTAACCTAAACACACGCACGCACCAGGTGCGTGTGATTTTCACACAGCAAAACATATTTATCAACCAAAAAGTCTCTAAAAGCATATTTCCACTAATGTCATATATGTAAAAATCATGCACATGATGCATATATAATGCTGCTTCACAGTTTAGACAAAAATGGTTAGCTCATTTACATTCCTGCATTCATCAACGCAAGCAACACAACATAGAGCTAATTTACACAACATCACCTTGGAATTCATGCAGGGCTTTGCACAACACACCTGCTGGGTGTGTACACACTACAAAGGTGTCTAGATTCCACCAATAGATCATGCTGGGAGGGAACACACTACAGAGGTGTATACTTGTTCGTGGCGTGTTTATAAGGTTAGTAAATCAACCCCAATGACTCAATTCTATCTACACCAGTCAACATTTAGTTATGTGAGGTATATTCACCAGAGGCTATTTTATCTGTGTTCTTTATTGTTTCACAGTGCTCTTTAACCCCTTCACGGGAGACGTATATCCCGCCACGAAGTGCCCAAATGAGCCCACAAATTTGCTGCTTGACAAGGCTCTTAACTGCTGAGAATCAGCGATTACCATTCATTAATGGATGCCTCGGTATGGAGGCATCTATTAATGAAAGAGTTAACCTTTTTCACACACCCGATCCCCTTCAGGAATCAGGTGTCTGACAGTGAGAGCAGAGTCGCATTTGCAGCTCTTGCCATGATAGCTGATATAGATCGAACATAGCTTTTATAGAAAAAAAGGTTAAAATGTTAGGTTTTAGTTTTAGGCCGAGTAGTACAGAAACATTTCTAAAATTCTAGGGATGTGAGGTTTTTCCAAATAAAGGACAGATAAATGAATGTATTTATTGTATTTTTTTTAGCTGTGCTGTTTTTGTAAAAAATACTACAAATCAAAACTTGGGAAAAGGTGTTTTCTTTATGTTTTTTCCTCTTTTTTTATATTTTATTTGGCCTAAGTGACGTGTTAGGTACACATATGTGATATAAATATATAGCCCTATCTGTCCTCTAAAAAACAACATATAATATGTGTGGGTGCACTTTGTAAGAAAGTATATTACTGACATGGAAGAATCATACAGCAAAAATTTAAAAGTGTGTCAGTCATTTACAAACAGAAACGAAAAACATGCTCAGTCATGAAGGGGCTAATGCAACCTGTTACTCCGATACACATAGGGGTCTATTCACTAAGCTGCTGTAGGCAGCCGAGTGAGCGACCGACCTGAAGCGAAGTGAGCTGAACGCTGAAATCAGCCGTACATCGTGTGGCTTCGGGTCGGCCAAACATGCTCAGCATGTTCAGCCGACCCAAAGTGCAGAAGGAGTTCGACCCAGCCGATCCAACATCTGGAAAAATAGTTTAAAAAGTAAAAAAAATGGAAAACGATTGTGCGGAGCTAGCAGTGACAGCTAGCTCCGCCCCAATTGTTTTCTATTGGCCGGGCGGGTCTGCTGCCTTAAAAAAAAAATTGCCATATGAATGCATTGCTAGATTACTATTGGCTATTTTAATTTGCAATAGCCAATGGCAAAGTAGCTATTGCACCCGCCCTCTGCTGCTGTCAATCACTAGAGGGGACCTGATGGAAAACTGCAGGTCCCCTCTGCTGATTGAGAGCAGCAGTGGGCGGGTGCAAAAAGCTGGTTTGCTATTGGCTATTGCAAATTGAAATAGCCAATTGGAATCTAGCAATGCATTGCTATGGTGAAATTTTTTTTTATTATTCCTGGGCGGCTGGGAGCGGGAGACTCCCGGAGCGCCCGGGAGAGTTTGCTGTCTTGAGATCAGTGTCCCTGGTTAGCTGGTAACCAGGGACACTGATCCCTCTGCAAGTGGCCAGAGCCAGCCGTGAGGTGACGGCTGGCTCTGCCCAGCTGTCAGAAGCAGGCTCTCGGTGGCCAATGGCCGGCCATTTGGCCAGCTTCGGCTTTCACCGAGGCATATGCCTTCAGCTCGACTGAGTCGCTCGGTCAACTTCGGGAGCTGTACGGGGTCCTGGGGCTGAAGCTAGTCAAAGGATCAGCCGAAGCTATAGCTAGATCCTTCGGCTGCTTCGTGAATAGACCCCATAATCCTCTTTTGCCAAACCTACAATCTAACTAGCTGCATATTGCTATTGGATAGGCTCTAAAATTTTCACTAATGATTCAATAATGAACAGGTTAATTGAACAGAATCATAAATCCTGAGATCAGACAGTCTTTGACTAGCATGTTTACAGAGGGTATAACAGCACCTAAAAGATACAGCCAGTCAGACAGAGCAAACAAAAGCCACATCTGTTTTGGTCATACACAGGATTCAGCAATGCAGAGATACTGACACATTTAACGCTTTTTCCACCAAAATAAACAAGAAAATTAATTACAATGATTAGTGCATTGTCTTATTATCAAGAGGGAGATTGCTTTTAGTATCTGGGTGAAGATTTCATTTGAAATAGATCTGCTCTTCACAAAGCCTAACTATATGCCAAATTACTCTGCATTGCACGACAACACTTTATTTCAGTTAATCTCATTTGGTTGAATACAATGATTAAGCTTGCTAAGTACATTCATAAACTGTTATTTCATACAGCTAGCTTACAGTGGTGACTATAAAACACAATTTTCTCCTTTTCCCTATGCTATTTTGTTCCCTGTACATTTTTTGCCAATGGCATATAATTTGTAGGACATCACAAACAGGAATAATGAATAATGTTTGTTTAATTAGCCATATGTTAATAGTTTACGAGAAAGACTGCAGAATCTGTTTTACGATCTGAAAGAAAATAAAATGATAATTTGTGCTATGCTGTGCTGTGCCAAACAGTTTTCTGAAATGTATTTGAGGAAAATTGCTGCATTCAGAGTGTTTGCTGTTAAAATGTGAGCTTTTGCAAAGAATAAAATCATCCTTATGGTGCTCAGACCCACAATTTACAAATGAAATCGCAGCTTTGGTTTGCCTTTCTTTCTTTTCCCTTTAAATGTTAAATCCAAATAAGCATGAAATAAAGGAAACAAATCTGCTTCCAGCATAAGAAAATATATTTTCATCTTTAGTAAAGATTGTAAAGTGCATAGGTGTCCATGCTATGTACAAGCAGTAAAAGAGCTTTACAACAAGCCATCTCAGATCTCTCTAGCTGCGTGTACTGTGAAGTAATTCATTCTCAAAGATGCTAAATGATTGCAACAAAGACTCTAAAGTCAGTTTCAGTTAGTGTCTACCAGCTTAGAAATACTTGCTGTGTGCTTACATTAGAGGTCTGGAAGAGGGCCAAGTTACTGCTACAATGAAAAATATTAGTAAAAAAAAAAGCTGAGATTGTTCTACCCTGTTGGAGACTTTGAAGATTAATTTATCCAAAAAGCCTTTAGCTACAGAGGTGAATGATGGCTTGCTTTTATGTATGTTTACAGTTTGCTTACTATATGTAAATACTTTAGCGTACATAGTATGGGCACAAGTTCACTTTAACATAGCCAAATTTGTATAAATAGCAACAAGATCCAGGGAAAGAACATCTTGGTCGTGAACCTCACTGTCTTAAAGCAGATCATTACCCCCTTTGACTAAGAGGGTTATTCATGAAGTAGCCAAAGGATCCAGCTGTAGCTTCAGCTGATCCTTTGGCTTACTTCGGCTGCTGGAGTCTTTTGGTTCCGCCGAACGCATATGCTTCAGCTCGGCCGAGCCGCAGTGACAGCCAAAGCATGGAGAAAGGTCGGCCGAATGGCTAAATGACAGCTGGGCGGAGCCAACTGTGATCTCATGGCTAGCTACGCCCAGTTGTAATGATAGATCAGCATCCTCAAATGACCTGGGGACGGTGATCTGTCATTAAACAACAACAACTGGGAAGAGCCAGCCGTGATGTCACGACCGGCTCCACCCAGTTGCAGGAAGTCTCTGACAAGTGTTGGCAAGATGTCACCACTAGCTCTGCCCAATTGCTTATATTTTGCTGGCATCTGTCAGATACTTCATTCAGCTGTGGGAGTTCATAGCGTGCGGTTGGGTCGGTGGGCGTAATTTTTTTTAAATGTATTTATTATTTTTTTCATTTCGTCGGGTTGCCGTCATCGTGGACAATGCTGGACGTTGTGAATGACACTGAATTACGTCGGTGGATACAATTTGTTTTTATTAAAGGACTTTATTTTCAAATAAAGGATTTTTTAAAAGTCTGGCCTCTTTTTAAAATGTTTTACTTTAACCCTTTAGTGAATAGGTAGGAGTACAAGGACCCCTTACTCATTCACAAGGGGGGCCTCATCTGGGTGCCTCTTTAATAAAGGGGTACCCTAATGTGAATTAGCCCCGATGCCCACACCCCTACAACCAATGCCCCAGGGCTTACTGTGAAGAGGCTCTTGTCCCCATCAGCAATGTGACAAGGTGCTTTTCCATGGGCACCCTCCCAGTGCCGAGGGCATGTGGCCTGGTATATCAGGCCTGTGCTCGGATTAAGGGTCTGGTTGGGAATTTTAGGGGGGACCCACATCTTTTTTTCCCCATTTTTGGGGATGGGGTTCCTTAAAGGCCTGGTATGACTTTATGGGGGCTCCCCACACACTTTTTTTCTTTTTTAAAAATGGGGTCCCTCCTAACTTTTTTCTTTTCTTCTGTTTTCATTATTTTCTTAACTTTTTTAAAAAATTCTGTTTTTACATTTATTTAAATTGTTTTTAAACTTTTTAAAAAATGTGTTTACATTTTTTTCTATTCTGCTTGCTACCTCAGAGGTAGCGAGCAGAATAGCTGAACAGAATGCCGCTCGGCAGCATTCGGTTATTCACTCACTGTTGTTTGGCCCCTTTGAGAATAGGGACGAACAGCAGCGAGTGAGCTGCCGGAGCTTTGGCTCAGCTGATCCAGATATTCCTTCTGCACTTCGAGTCAAATTTCTTCTGCACTTTAGCTCAGCAGAACATGCAGAGCAGGTTCTACTGAACGAAGGCAGCCGATGTACGGCTGATTTTAGCCGATGTATGGCTGAACCTAGCCATGTAGGGCTGAAGTTAATAGCCGAACTTCGTTCAGCTCTGTTCACTTCAGCTCGGTTATACACTCGGCTGCCTTCAGCAGCTTTGTGAATAACCCCCTACAAATCACATTAGCATACAGCTCTGCATGCTGTTATGAAATCATCTCACAATCATTAGCTAAACCCACATATTTTTATTTTACTTACAATTTATTTTTCTCCACTTCCTGGTCCACTTTGGCACAAATTAAGTAATCTGTGCCCAAGCGATGCATCCTGGGAATGTTACATCAACAGTGCATTGCTGGAAAATCTCATCTGTAATCTCACCAGATCTCATGGAAAGGCATTTTCCTCCCCTGAGATGATGTGCATGGTCACATGTCCTAGTCACATATGCCAAAGTTCCAGGAAGTAAAGGGAGATCTACTAACTTGCCCTTGTCAGAAGACTGGGGAAGAAACCACCCTAACCCTAAGGTATGCAAAGAATAAAAAGCTGGCAATTATCTATAAGTATCTGTTTGCAGATTGTAATTACTAGACATTTCTAAAGGTGCCTTTGTTGTTAATTTGAAGATAAGGGTACAGTTCCTCTTTAACCCCCAACCTCTATACATTAGAGTTGCTAGTAAATTGTGGTGATCTGACAATTCCAATCTAAAACTAAATCTGACTGTGTATTACCACCGTAAGACATGTTTACTTTAATTAAAGATGATTTATAATGTAATACAATGAGTTAATGTACTATGTAAGTTGCATTTAAACTTATAAAGAAATCCAAAATGTGGTGGAGACACAATTCAAATCCTACCCACAGCCAGAGTGAGATGACAAAACTTCTTTCACACCACAGTTTTCCAATGGCAAAGAATGTTGGCATGCACAACTCTTACTTGACATTATCCAATGTCTAATCCTATTTTTCTTTAGTTTTTTCCCCAAATATAATAAACAATATAAGCATTTGTACTTCTGTTATACAACTTAACTCACTTACTGAAACTAATATATAAAAATATAGAATGCAAGTGAAACATTATCATTTTAGTAAAATATGAAATCTATTTATTTTAGTAGAACAAACTGATGATCTGGAATGTCTGTGCAAAGAGCAGTGATGTGTGGTAATCTATAGCAATGCAAATATCTTCAAGCTTCATGTATTAGTTTAGAGTAGTCAGAACAATGAAAAAATATTTCTGCTATGCATTTTTCCTTTCCACATTACCGTCTGATTCTCTGAACAGGAACTATATCAAGCTTATGGTTCATTTGACCCTAGCCCTGGGCACATGTTTCTCCCATCATCTATAATGACCCTACCTCCCCATAACTTCCTATTCTAGGATTTTTCTTAGAACATGCATGTAACCAGCCACTGTCCCCCATGAACCCAACCCTCACCAGTTACATAATTTAGCATCAAAGAATCATAATAGATATCCACTGCCAGTTAAACAGCTTGTCTGTGTCTGGGAGCCATTGGCACTGGGAATATGAGCTCTGGATTTTGCAGAGCAGCCTGAAACTGACAGAGAGGGTAATCAGGCGTGGGACACCAGTCGCAGGGAGTGAAAGGACACTAGGGATTTTAAACACAGGGGATGTAGGGACAGGGTGACTGCACGTTTGGTGTGGGTGTGCTAGCGGAGCAAAATCTAAGGAGAGCCTGGTGTTCTCCAGACCCCTGATGGTGGGGATGTTGCGCTGCAGGACAGATCCCAGGTTGGGGCTCTCCAACACCCCTATACAGACACAACCTAATCTAATGGGAACAGAGAGACAGAACAGCACTGGAGCTCTGGACTGTTAAGGAAAGACTGATACCACACAGAGGTACTGGATTTACTGATACTGGGTAATACAAGGTACACTGGGGAGTTATAGCACAAAGAAAAAGGAAATTAAATCCACACAGAATACATGCACACACAGAGGCACAGGATACACAAAGCAAATACATGCAGGGGATGTGCGTTACAATGAGGTTCAGCTTACACAAGGAGATGTGCACAGGGAATGTGTGTTGCACAATGGCTGAGGATACACTGGGAGATGCACACAGAGGAATGTGCATTACAGAGGGGCTCAGGTTACAGGAACACAGGAGAAGGGGGCATAATAGGATGGTACAGGAACACTGGAAACAGAATCACAAGGTAAAAGGGGCATAATACAATAGTACAGGAACACCGGGAAAGACTAACAGCACAGCTGAACATAGACACGCTGCAGGCTGGGACACAGGAGAGGCAGGTAGAATAGTAGAGCAGACACTCAGAAGCTGGGGGTGAGAACACGGAAGCAGTGCAGCACAGCAGGCCGTTCAGAGAACTCACCGCACACAAAAAAATGCAAGGGTGGAATACCGACAATACTCTCAGAAACACACCGAGAACTCAGAGGGCCAGAAAAACTGGGAACAACAGAGTGTTGAACACAGCCACTCAGTGGAATCCACAGGAGTACACAGAAGGCACGGGGATCTTTGGAAGCACAGGAATAATGGGCTACACATGGAACTTAGGAAGCACTGGTGATCTTAAGAACCACGAAGGGTGAACACTAGGAACACAGGGGGTCTGGCAGCTAGCAAACCGACTTGTTGCTCGAACCCTGAGCAACAGGTGACCTGGATCTATAAGAGAGAGGCCAAGAGTAGATTGGCTGCAGACCTGCAACCTGCAATACACTGGAAGCCAAGCACCTTGGACAGGGGAAAAATCTGGCATGGAAACAGGGCAGAGGGTAAAACCTGACACAGGAACCAGTTAAGTGTGACACAGCTTTTTTATATTTCAACTGTATGCTGCAGTTTGCCGGAAGTTTGGATATAAAGGGAAATTCCACTTTAAAAAAAAAGTGCATAAAAAAAGAATATGCTTCATAAAAGAAAAAATGCTTCATAAAAGAAAAACAAATTGCATATTTTATTCTTGTGTATATGAGCCAGTAAAGCATTGCAAGGATGATCAGTGGATCCTGGGTACAATGATATGGCTCCTGCAGACCCTTCCTCCCAGCCATGTCCATACTGAGGTATGGACATTCTGTAACATGGACAGGTGGAAATGTTGATGGACTATAAGTGCAGTGCCACTCTGAAACTTGTCCCTGCACTTTCCTGACACAAAAAAAGCTCAGAGGAATGGAGGTCTGTGCTGTCATGGGAATCAGTACAGGGACTAGAACTGGAAGAGGGGCCTTTTTTTTGTGTCAGCAAAGTGTAGGGACAGTGAGACTCATGCTGTAAATCATGAGGCCATCTCCTTTGCAGAGCATTATCAGGAATGGGGCGGGGAGGGGAAGGCATGCTGTCACCCTCTGGATCTCAGCTTTTAGTGTCCACAGATACCTGGGATAAAAGGCAACATATACCATGGGAGTTAGGAGAATGAACTGTGAAAAATAATAGCGAGACTGCTGCTTTAACTATTGCCACAGTGTCTTTTCTAAAGGTACCATGAGAACAGTTTTTTTAATTCCTTTAAAGAACGGTCACAGTGCTTTTAATTTCTCTGCAAATCCAATATAGGATGGAAAGTGTGACTTCACCCTCTAAAGTGCTATTCATTTTAGTCTGCTTTGGCCATTTTATATAGGACTTTTTCAATTAAGAAATTGATCATTTGGCAAGCTCTCAAGGCCTTATTTCTGCACGTGTTCATATTCCTTAATAACTGTTCCTATACTGTGACCTTTCAAGGTTATGTAAGCAGCTTGTTTAATTAACTACTTTAGTGCTGCAGGGAGGAAGCAATGGATGAGAGCATAATCCATATTAGAGGGCAAAGAATATCTCGCCTTTTCCTGTCGCTTAATGTTTTTTAATTTAAGCGTTTTTTCTTACCTATGCAGTTTCACATTTTAACTTATTAGACAGTAACATAGCTTGGCAAAACTCATGTTTTTCTAGCAGAATTTAATGTATACATATTAATATGGCTATTCTTCAGGATTTTTGGTAATATAAGCACACTCACTTCACTTTTAATTTTATAGCAGAATAACATTTTAGGCAATGATGTATAAACTCCAACTTTCTCTCTGGATGATATATCGGGGCTGATTTTCTAAAAGCAAATATGCTG